AAACTAGGCAGGTTTCGCCCAGTAGTCCCGCCAGCACCTGTTCCATCAAACGCTCAAAGGTTGCCGGTGCATTGCATAATCCAAATGGCATCACCTTAAATTGCCAGAGTCCCTTCCCAGTTGAGAATGCGGTCTTTTCCTTGTCCTTGGGATCTAAATCCACCTGCCAATAGCCGCTTTTCAGATCGAGCGTTGAAAACCATTTCATGCCACTCAGTGTGTCAAGTGTGTCATCGATTCTTGGTAAAGGGTAGCTATCCTTCTTGGTTACATCATTCAATCGTCGATAGTCTACACAAAACCTCGTTGAACCATCTTTCTTCTTGACAAGCACGACAGGTGAACACCAAGGGCTAGAAGAGGGCTCTATCACGTCATTTTTCCTCATATCGTCAATCATTTGTTCAACCTCTTTCTCACGAGCGAATGGTATACGTCTGGGCCTTTGACGAATTGGCATTGTACCACCTGTGTTTATTTTATGCTTCACCAAACCAGTTCGGCCAATATCACCATCGCTTCTTGAAAACACATCAGAGAATCGAAGAAGTAAATTTCTAGCTTTCATAGTCTCCACTTTTGTCAGACTTTTGCTTTCGTCTAAGATTTTCGTTACAAAGTCTATTCCCGTACTGTCCTTCTTCACAAGATTTTCCGAGCATTTCCTTATCCAGGCCACTTCTTCCAATACGCCCACAGGCTCTCCCTCTTCAATCGTAATTTTTGAATCACTGAAGTTGAATACCGGAATGCGGTTGACATCAGATGACCCCACGACAGTTCTTGCCGGTAGCCATGAGTTTACGTGTTCCGATTTATCAATCACAGCGCACCGTCGAGGTAAACTTCCTTCCCTCCTCCTAGGTAATGCGATTGGTACGAGAGTCTGTGATTTTGGTTCAAGAACAGTTCTTCTTAAACAGCAAACTTTTCCCAGGGTTCCACCCTTCATCGGAATTTCCTCAGTTCCACATAGTAATACTCCAGATTTTAAGTCGATGTTACACTGGTGCCCTTGCAGGAAGTCAAGTCCCAGGATGCAGTCATCCAGAATTTTGGCCACAATAACCTCATGTCGATAAACACGTTCCCCAATTTTGATTGTTACATGCAGTTTTCCACTTATCGGTATGCACTGGCCGGTAGCTGATTTCATTCGTAGGCCAACAATTGGTTTAACGTGTTTCCTGATGTTTTGCCCGAGCAGCTGAACATTTATCACCGTCCTTGAAGCTCCAGTATCTAATGTTAGCTGACTGTTTTTCCCATTTACTTGACCGTCTATCACCAGAGTATTTCCATCGTTAGTTTGCTTGATGTAGATTGTTGGGGTTATTCCACTACCGGCCAGCGCCCACCCCGCAGCCCTGGCTGGATTTAGTTTCCCTGCTGGTCAGAAGTTGAAACCGCCGCGTCCTGGCGGTTCACCTTGTTCGGGCAGTTGCTCCGGATGTGCCCACGCTCTCCGCATCCATAGCACACGAAGTTCCGACGGCGTGGAGGTACCTGCTCCGTAGTCGTCATTTCCCGTAGACGTAAGGTACGGGAGTTACCACGCACGGCTTCCACTTCCAATGCATGGGCCAGAGCTTCTTTCATGTTCTGGTGATGGCCCAGATGAACAGCAGCTCGCACTTCGGGGTCCCGAATACCGTCAATGAATGCTTGGAGAAGCGTGCCTTCAATCATTGACGGAGTCGACCGGAAAGCTCGACGCACAAGTTTCTCGATTTCCACGGACCATTGCTGTAGGCTCTCATTAGCACGCTGAGTACGCTCTTTTAATTGCGCTCTGTACACGTGCTCGAGGTGGCTGTCTCCAAAACGTGCCTCCAGTGCGTCGAGGAGGGCACTAAAGCTGAGATCCCCACTTGCGCCGATAGCTTCCAGCACTGAGAGCGCTTGATCACGGAGGGCCAGGGTGAGAGCTGACTGTGCTTCCTTCTGAGTCCAACCATAAGCCTCCATAAGTGTCTCAAACTGTAGCTTGAACGCGGTCCAGGATGTTGTTCCGTCGTAATGGGGAATCTTGAGCCCTTTCGTTGCGCTTGAGGCCACATGTGGGGCGTCAAAAACGGCTGCAAGACGGCTTCGGCTCTTCAAAGGGCTTGGGCTTGTCACTTCCTGCTTGATTTTGGCGATCTCTTCTTCCACTCTCTCCTCTATCGCCATGACGCGATGTTCCAACTTGCCTAACCCTTCCTCCACTTCTTGTACCCGTTCGACAGCCTTTTGCAGTCCCTTCGTGAAATCTTTATGCATGTCTTCCAAGCGACGCGCTTGCTCCTCTTGGCGACGAGCTTGATCTTCTTTCAGCTCCCGTAGCTGCTCCGCCTGACAGCGTGCTTGCTCCCGAAGCTGTTCTGCCTGACAGCGTGCTTGCTCCCGTAGCTGTTCTGCCTGACAGCGTGCTTGCTCCTCTTGGCGACGAGCTTGCTCCTCTTGGCGACGAGCTTGATCTTCTTTCAGCTCCCGTAGTTGTTCTTCTTGGCGGCGCGCTTGCTCTACCATCATTTGCTGCAGCTGTAGCAGAAGATCCACCTGCACAGGCTTGGCTTCTGCATCGCTGGTTTGAGCTGCAGCACCATCTTCCCTCACTCGCTGCGCTTGTGACATTGCACGGGTACTCACTCCTCTTACATCCTGCGGCACTAGCGGCATTTTTCTCCAATCCCACTTCTGACACCAAATGTTACGAGCCTGACGTCACGTTCCTGACTATGCGGGCTTGGGTTACGGGATTGGATGAAATAAAACACTAATACCGGTTTCAGACTTTCTATTGCACTTAGATGACAGCGCCCTCGGAGTTAAGTTATCGGCGTTCCTCTCCAGCAGAGTCCGGGCGACTGACACAAACTTCCGTTTGCCGCTCACTGTTCACGCTGACTTTCACTTAACTCACTGCACTTCACTATTTCACTGCACTGCACTATTTCACTCACTTTTCTTCTTTTTCACTTCTTCCTTTTCTTCCGAATCGCTTTGGACTTAGAACTCAACTGCCAGCGGTGAGCCGCAGTTCCGCTTATATACCCCCGGTCAGGTTCTGGAACATTCAATTTCGTTATTCTTTTTGATCGTCATGCCTCCAGAACCTTCCAATAATTTCGTTATTCATTTTTATTTATTCTCCTTCTCGCTTTTTAATTTTTCATTTCTGTCACACAAATAATTCCAGAAAGTTCGACAAAACTTCTATCAACTAAAAAACTTCATGTTTACGGCGGGACTCGAACTCGGGGTCTCTGTGGTGTAATCCACATGCCTTACCGATTACACCAACTCGTGTTGACAATTCACGACGAAATTTACAATCTCTAGGCAACGTTTGACAACCATCCATTGACGTCATGATGTCAAAGAGTTTGAACCACTTTTCCGTCACACTATTTTGTCTTTAATTATGATTGAAATATTAAGCCTTTGACTGCCGACAAAAAACTGTTGAAGGCAAATCCTCCGCTAACGGAGGTCACCGGTGACCCCCATGGCTCTTAATGTGTTAAGTATTGAAGAGACATGCTTTTTTTGAGGCGACAAGAGACAGTCTCATATTCTCTTCCGACTAAAAACTACCCCTGTTCCTTCTACTGCTCTGTGCTGGCGTCACCATACATTATTACCGCTCGAATATTGACGCGCCATACGCTTGCTTGGATCTAGTTCTGATTGGAAAAGCTACCCTTGCGCGCCGTCCGCAGATCCATGCGTTCGGTCGCCGGAGGTCGTCGTAAGATCCAACGTCCGGAGTGTCTCTTACAGTGGCTGGGGCGAGAGGAGGATAGTTCCTACTTCTTTATAAGCTAGACTGCTTCTGCTTTGCAGTTGTACATGATCCGCACCATGGCCTCGACTAAGAGGACTGAACGTAAGAGGTCGCTGTTTGCACCAATTATCAATTATCCGGCTCGACTGGATTGCCAGAATCCCCTCTTGCGTTGTTTTTGACCGTGTTTTTCAGTACCAAAGCATTCTTCCCCCCTGTCCCCCATCCCGAACATGGAACAATGTTAATGTCACCAAAAATGTCAGCTACGCAATTATAACTGTTTTGTCGAGTAAATTTGGTTTAAAAAATATGTAAGTACAAAATATTCTGTCTTTGTACGAGTATACAGTTTTGTCCATAAATTATACGTTTTGTATGACGCCTTACAGACATCATGAGGATGTATTGTACAAATAAAATAAGATACAGTTCTATCGCATATACTCTTAGGTTTATTTAGATTAAAACAATACTAGTACTAAAACCACTATGCAAAACCTCACGTCCTTACCGGCCACGACGACGACGTTACATCGAAAAATGACTTTCTTGTCTTCTTCTTAAGCCACATTTTTTAATGTTCAGTAAAATTATTCTAAATAATTAATTATTTTGATCCGCAGGCCCAATTAATCTGACAACGCCTCGGCCTAGTAAGTAAATTTTTATATTTGATCTAAGAATTTCTGAGCGCTTTGTGACTATGTACTATATTAGAAATGGAAATTACACTAATTTCTATTATATTAACAAGACGGGTTACAAAAATAGCTACATAGAAAAATGTTGTCACTTTTTAATCAATTTAGTGACTAAACCCCATTTTTAAACATTCTTATCATCATTTCTTGTATAAAAATAGCATGTCTTTCTAACGTAAAATAATAAAGAGATAGATAGCACTAGTTCACAACTACATAACAACTTATCATAAACCAGTATAAGTTGACCGTTGCAACTGCGAAAAGACCATACAAGGCGAGATCATGTAAGACTGGTTTTGCTTGATGTATCATTTTCTTTTTTTTTACTAATTTTTTCTATCGCATAAAGGAATAATTTAATTATATTGCCTCGAGCTTGTTAAAAAAAAACATGTTTTTCCTCCATCCATTGGATTGTATTCATACGTTGTAGCTCGGGGACGAACATCTGTGACGTCATTCTATCACAGAGTCTTTATATAAATGTATTTTTTATTGCTTGCCTGTATTTAATAAGAGATCACTCGCGGCCACGAGAAGTCATCGTTGTTAGCTGTGATCATTTATTTAACATTTTATGTGTTAAGAACAATATTAGTACTTATATACATAAAAAAATGTCACTGAAGCTTTTTATTCTTATTGTAACAATAAATGTAAATTTATATTTAACATATTCTGCAGAATTGAAATGTGATCGTCAAAATGAACATTATGAGTGCGGCAGTGCTTGCCAAACTACGTGTGATAACTTAGGAACTGTATGTCCAATTGTGAACATTAGATGCAACGACGCCTGTTACTGTAATGAGGGGTTCGCACGCGATGAACACGGGATGTGTATTCCTGAAGCAGAATGTATGTAAAATTTTTAGCTATTTTTTAGCCAAAGGTTTTTTTTTTTTTTTAATGTAATAAGTCGGCAAACGAGCAGACGGATTACCTGATGGTAAGCAATCAACGCCGCCCATGGACACCCGCAACGGAGGAGTTACGAGTGCGTTGCCGACCTTTTAGGGATTAGGGATTTGGAGATTTAGGGATTGGGGAAGGGTCCGGGAAGGGGAAGGATTGGGCCTCCGGTAACCTCACTCACACGGCGAAACACAACGCTGTGGTTATTTCACGCCGGTTTTCTGTGAGGCCGTGGTATCACTCCGGTCGAGCCGACCCATTCGTGCTGAAGCATGGCTCTCCCACACTTAAAACAAAAAAGGTTGGCAAACGAACAGACGAATTACCTAGTGGTAAGCAATCAACGTCGCCCATGGACACTAGCAATACCAAAGGAGTTACTATAAGTGCGTTGCCGATCTCTTGTGGCTTATTAGGGATGTAAAGGTTGAGGATGGGAGAAGGGGGGAGGATTGGGATAAGCTTTGATATTACTGCCATACTGACTGCACAGTGTAGCTGTATAAGCTATGATTCCCACACAGAACAGCTCTTTGTTTGATTCACAATAGGAATTCATTGGCTTTTTTCTATAATATCCTTTTTATTATTTATTTATCTTGAGTACGTACCTATTGTATACACATTTAGACGAGGTAGATAATCTTAGTGTGTATTCACAACGTCAGTTTTTAAAGAGGTTTTTATTCAGAGAATTTTATTTTATTTTTTTCATCTAAGAATCGTCATGTTTGTCTTTGTATTACTTGGCTACTCTGTTTTTTTATATAGGACTACTAGCGAACGTCCCGGCTTCGCGCCGCTGAAATACTGATACAAAATTTCTCTACTATTTAATTGATATTAATGTTATTATGTACATATAAACCTTCCTCTTCAATCGCTCTATCTTTGTGCTAACTAGTAAAGCTTTTCTTAGTTAATTCATGTCAGCAAGTAGTTACTTTGAATAAATTTAACATAAATTTAGTATGTCTCACGATATGTAGTGTTGAAAAAATCACCCTGTCTATAAAAAACCCGCATTAAACCAGTTGCGTAGTTTTAAAAATGTTAACATACAAAGGGATATAGGGATTGAGAAAGCGACTTTGTTTTATAATATGTAGTGCTGTAAACGGTAAATTATTTCGACAGGTTTCCCAACCTCTCAACCTCGTCAACCGAGAAATACTCAAATTGAGAACGAGCATAATAAACGTAATAAGTTTATTTAATATAACATAGACAGTCAATTCTTTTATTCCTAACGTAAAACGCTCAACTATGGAACGTGGATATTTCTAGTCTTTGGTATCGGAGAATTTCAGATTCTTTAAGGAATTTTAATAAGAATTTTATTATTGATTAATGTATTGTTGTCTGATCACAGTCTCATACATCATTGTTGTTTAAGCCTTGATATTAATATATTTGTTTTTATTTATTTCGACTGACTATTTTTATTTATTTTTCTCAGGTCCGAAAAACTCACGAAACTCACGAAAACGTCGCTCAAATAATGAACCTGGTAAATTTATTTTTATTACTTTCTTGCTCTTTCATTATCATCATTATCATCATCATCAACCAGTACAAATTCCAATGCTAGCAAATACCTCATCTTACACAGAAGAGATGAGAATAGATTACCAAGCTTGTTTAAGGCGGATTGGCAATTTAATAAAGCAACCTACGCGTAAGCCTTTGATCATAATATTTTTTAAGATAAGTGTGGGAGAGCCAACTTCGGTATGGTCAAATGGGTTAGCTTGACCAGACTAATACCACCACCTCACAGAAACCAGCCGTAACAACCACAGCGTTGTGGATCGTCGCGTGAGTGAGATTACCGGAGGCCCAATTCTTTCCCGTTCCCCATCCCTCCCCAATGCTTAAATATCCGGAACCTTTATTAAAAGTCCTGCACCCATGCAACTCCTTTGGTGTTACAGGTGTCCATGGGCGGCTTCGATTGCTTACCATCAGGTAATCCGTCAGCTAGTTTGCTGACATATGTCATAAAAAATAAATAAACATTTTTGTACCGACATCGCGTCTCTGATATCGCACTGCATACTGGGGTACTTCAAACCGGATTGCAATAATCATCCAAGACGCTTATCAGTAAACAAACAACAATTAGCCCCTTAATGTCCTTAAACACAGTACCTTGTTACATGCTACGGAATTATGTACATAATTACATAAGATGCCATATTTTTATGTCGTAGGGTGGTAAAAATACTGATAAAATTATTATTTGCCATATTTTTTATGTCAGGGTATGTAGGGTGGTAAGAATCCTGAGAAAATGCCTGATGGTAAGCAATCGGTAACGTTCATTATCACTCGTAACAGCATAGTCAAAGGCGCGTTGCTGGCCTTTTAGGATAGAGTACACTGGTTTCTTGAAGGTTCGAATATCGTAACAGAAAGACTGCCGTCGAAAGATCATTCGAAAGTTTTGTTGTGCCAAGTAGATTGGGATGGTGTTTTCGAGTTGTTTGGTAAAAGATGCGACGGGGGTCCATACTGGCCGATTTCTCTGATGATGATGATGATGCATGTTCTGTCGCCTATACTACGGGGAGAGGTCTCCGAAGTATAAGCGATAGAAAATACATAGAGTAGCTACATCCCTATGCATTGCCAAAGAGTCCAGCCGACCAGTTTGAGATATCAGAGTCTGCAACAGTTTATTGTCTGTGTCAATTATAAGCCACGATTGAATGAGATTTATATTATTACTAAACCTATGTATTTGCTGCATTTAATGAGTAGAACCTGACCCACCTCTTCGGAAAACGTTCCAATTATAGTCTTATTTTGAATTTTATATTTCCAGCAGCCATCTGTTCCGGAGAATACGAAGTGTACACGGACTGCTATAAGGACTGTCCACCAAACACGTGCCTGTCTCTCGTGGCGAAGTTCAAATGTGATTCTTCAGAGCCCTGCAAGAAGGGATGTGTCTGCAAGCCTGGCTACCTGAGACAGAAAGTTGGTACACCTTGTATACCGATACGGGAGTGTAAGGAGATGAAACATGCTCCACCGTCATAGTTTCAAAGTTCAACCAAATGTTAGTTAGACAAGTTCGCTTAGGGACTGCAGCCTTATTATTTAATAGAATTTCAACTTTGTGTTTTTGTAATAGAACTAAAAATGCATTGAAATGTATAATGTAATAAATGTTCAGAGGCTATTTATAACAAGCTTTTTTTCTTAAATTTGATTTATATATACATATTCTATGAAGCTGCTCATTGCAAAATTAATCTGAACTCTCAGCCATTTTAATATATCGGGTACTTGTATGAAACTAGTGAATGAGATCTTTAATAAATATTATAATAAAACATGTTATTTTTTCAACATTTCGTTTTATTTATTTTTGAATTTTTTATCTACCTATATCCAGATTAAGTCAACGACTAGCCAAGAATGTTTAAGTTTCTATGTAATCTAATATTATTTATACTAATATTATAATGAAGTAAAATTTGTAAGGTTGTATGTAGGGGGTAATCTTTGGAACCGCTGGTTGTATTGCCAAAATTCTTTCACTGATAGATAACTACAATGTTCCTGAGGGCTATGTATACTAATGTTATAAATGTGAAAGTGACTCTGTCTATCAGTCTGTCTTTTCTTCACACCTAAACTACTAAACCAATTTCTGTGAAATTTGGTACAGACATAGTTTGAAACCCGAGAAAGGATATAGAATAGTTTTTATACCATAAATCTGCAGAAAGTCACTATTCCACGCAAACGGAGTCGCGGGCAAAATCTGGTAGGCTATAAAACATCACGTTACGAACAAATAGAGCCGAGCAGCGGGTGAAACCGCGCGAGAATAGCTAGTACCTATTATATATAACTATATCACAACGGTGTACTTTTTTGTCATTATCTCAGTCTGTTGTCAAATAATCTATTCCCTCTTGAGAGTTTTAGGAGTTTAGAGAGTTTAGGAGTTACGTGAAAAATAAAAATGTGCAGCAATTTTGCCCGACTTGATAGATAAACTTTTCTCAGATATTGTTGTAATAAGAGTATAAAAGAGCTTAAAACAGAAGTACGTAATCATTCTAAGATTCCATAAACCATCGCTGAATTATTTTATAGTATTGTTTGCATAGGAAAGTAAAATGGGACAGAATTGGCTGCTATATGACAATAGCTAGCGATAAAGGCGAAGGCGAAGGCGAAGGCGAAGGCGAAGGCGAAGGCGAAGGCGAAGGCGAAGGCGAAGGCGAAGGCGAAGGCGAAGGCGAAGGCGAAGGCGAAGGCGAAGGCGAAGGCGAAGGCGAAGGCGAAGGCGAAGGCGAAGGCGAAGGCGAAGGCGAAGGCGAAGGCGAAGGCGAAGGCGAAGGCGAAGGCGAAGGCGAAGGCGAAGGCGAAGGCGAAGGCGAAGGCGAAGGCGAAGGCGAAGGCGAAGGCGAAGGCGAAGGCGAAGGCGAAGGCGAAGGCGAAGGCGAAGGCGAAGGCGAAGGCGAAGGCGAAGGCGAAGGCGAAGGCGAAGGCGAAGGCGAAGGCGAAGGCGAAGGCGAAGGCGAAGGCGAAGGCGAAGGCGAAGGCGAAGGCGAAGGCGAAGGCGAAGGCGAAGGCGAAGGCGAAGGCGAATAGAGATAGAGATAGAGATAGAGATAGAGATAGAGATAGAGATAGAGATAGAGATAGAGATAGAGATAGAGATAGAGATAGAGATAGAGATAGAGATAGAGATAGAGATAGAGATAGAGATAGAGATAGAGATAGAGATAGAGATAGAGATAGAGATAGAGATAGAGATAGAGATAGAGATAGAGATAGAGATAGAGATAGAGATAGAGATAGAGATAGAGATAGAGATAGAGATAGAGATAGAGATAGAGATAGAGATAGCGATAGAGATAGAGATAGAGATAGAGATAGAGATAGAGATAGAGATAGAGATAGAGACAGAGATAGAGATAGAGATAGAGATAGAGATAGAGATAGAGATAGAGATAGAGATAGAGATAGAGATAGAGATAGAGATAGAGATAGAGATAGAGATAGAGATAGAGATCCGCCGCGGCGCCGTGAAGTATGCACTGTTTGTGTACCGCGAGCATATGTCGGTGCGGATTGCTCGCGCATTCGGCTTAAAAGTTTTGTTGTAGGTAGTGGCAACATTTCACTACACTTCCTATAGATGTGTTGAGTTGTAGAAATTGTGCGAAATTACTATTTATTTACGTTTAGCGTGCGTGAGTATGGGGAGATGATAATGTGCTACGGGGAAGCTCGAGGAGATGCTAGGGAAGCGCTCAGAATTTACGTTGGTAGGTATCTTGACCGTCGGCATCCATCAGATTCCAGGATAATTACTGGTGCCTATCAAAGCTTGCTTGTAAACCAGCCCATTGTTCCCAGACAAAAAGGCGCCGGAAGAGCAATACGCGGGCTTTGGAATAGGTTCGCTAACGTAACGTGACGCTAACACTTACCAGTGCTTTCCTATTTAAACGTAGTTAGGGTAAGTTTCGATCGTAACCGTGGCCAGCACGATCGTCAGACCTTACCCATTTGGACTTCTTTTTGTGGGGTTACGTAAAAGAAAAAGTGTTTGTAAGTACGTGTGCAAGTGAGTACGAAATGCGAGACCGCATCACAAATGCTTTACAGCAGCTGCGTCACAGCTGCAACGAAGATTCCACCTTGTTGCCCCGATTACTTCGCGTTTAAGGTAGGGATTTTTTTAAATCACTTACCATGTTATGATTGTTATTTCATTTCATCATTTTCTTTTGTACATAATGCGGATAACTTTTAAATAATAATTAAAATAAAATTAAGGTAATGAAACAAATCAGGTTAATTGGATTCCCATAACGTTCCTGAAATAATTTCATGTACCGGTCAACTTAAAACGATATACTGAATTGACCCTATCAGTTTGCGGAAGGCTGTCCGTTACACCCTGTATGTGTTGCTAATTTAATATTAAAGGTATGGAGTTTCAAGTCAATTTGAATTAGCTTTATCTATAATAAAAAAATCATTTTTTTTATTTAGATGACGGACTAATAACTTTTTTCTTATCGTACTTTGTTATCATTCCAATTAAATAATAATTACTTTAAACATTTTCATCTCAATTACAGGTGTCTAATTAAGCTAATTCTGCATTCAATAACTAATTAAGTCAGTCATTTAGACTAACTGCAGATATATAATTTAGTATATTAATTTGTGTCACAATTCACTGCTGAAACCTGTATTTTTATTTTTTAATTGATGCTATCTATACATATGATGAGTAACGCAGGTTTTAAGTTTAATGTATTGTTATTTCTGAGTACAAAGTCAAAGTCAAAATTATTTATTTCAATTTGACCCCTACAGGCACTTTTGAACGTCAACCAAAATTTTGAAGATATAAATTGTCAGTCTGTCTGTCAGTCCTCTTAGTGAAGCTGCTCGTGATAAGTTGTTAAAGGAGAGTCTAAGGCCCCGGTTGGAGTAAAGCAAAACTGCGAGCGGTATTTAAATGTAATTTTGTAAAAGAAAAAAAACGTAGACAAGCGGAATCATAGCTGTTGCGCCGGACAGCAACCGGAGCTAAAATAAATAAATAATAAGAAATCTTCATAGGGCAATGGAGCGCAGCATTTTAGGTGTTAAGCGAATAGATCGCGTTAGAAACACCACGCTGCGCTGCATAATTCAAATAGCAGATGTCGGAGAAAAAACAGCCAGCCTGAAGTGGAAGTGGGCTGGCCACGTCGCACGAATGCACTCGGACAGATGGGCGAAGATTGTCACTCACTGAATACCTGAAGGAGGTCGACGCCGTCGAGTTCGACCACAGCGAAGGTGGTGTGACGATCTGATCATATTCGGGGGGCAAACTTGGCCGGAGATCGCTCTAGACAGAGAAGTTTGGAAGGAAAAAGGGAAGGGCCTTTGCCCAGGGGTGGGACACACAAAAGGCTATAAAAAAATAGTTTGTCATGATAGTGTCAAGTATCTCAATCAAGACAGTCACGCTTATAAAATCTAGAAGATTAATCTTTTTTACAAGATTATTGAGTCTGAGTATAAATGAACAATGAGAAATCAAATGATATATTAAACGTAAGATAGGATATTTTCTTTCTAAATATTTTATTTCGCAAATATGGGTACAGTACATGGTGTAAAAATATTAATCAGATTCAGCCATTATTTTACAATTAAGCATGCGAAAGGTACAAGACCAAGAACAAATAGAAAGATTAAAGATGCATACACTTGTTAGACATTTTTCTTTATTTCAAAACAAATACCTTTACCTAGTCACAACAAAACCTTTGTTTACTAGGATTGTTCGTAGCCTTTTTAAAGGTATTTTGATTATAAATACAGAATCAGATCTGTAGTAAAATAAAAGACGAAATAACTATAAAAGCTTTAATAAAAAAGAAGTCAGCATAAAATTATTTAAGGCAATCCGGTGAGTTAGCCATTTCTGGGCACTCACATTTTGGTATACAGGGTGATGTTAAGTTTAGTCTAAAATAACCGGAGTCACAAAGGCATCCTAGTTTTGCTGGCTCCGTGGAATTACATTTGTACTTGGCCACAAGTGATTTGCAGATGTTAGGTGGACAACTTTGAAATTCCTTCGTGTAGTGTTCGTTTGGGCCGGTACAGAGTGAAGAATCTGTAAAAAAAAATTATTCAATGAGTAAGAGAAGTAAGAGTAGTAAATTAAACAATTTCTTAAGACGACTAAAGTACTTTTTTTGCGGTTGAATAACCTGTATTGTCTCATGCCGTTTACATTTCTAACAAATTCAGATCAATCCACAAGTAATTAGAATCCAAAGATGAAAAATTGATGGAATTGATTGATGCATATCTGAGACACAACCAGTTTTAAGATCTAGGACTAAATTATTGTTAGATGTGTGTATATGTGACAAAAACAAATTAAAAAATCACAATAACTTTTTTCTTATTGTGTTGAAGACAAACGAGCATGCAGGTCGTCTGAAGATGAACGATTCATAACACCCATGGACAACGTCTTCGCATGCCAGAAAGGGTAAAAACAATGTGCTAGTATTTTAAATTGTATGAAGGTTTTTTTTAACGATTTGAAGGATATACAGCTAATATTAGCTTGATATAATTACCATTATTATCCTCATCATCATCACATTCCTCAGAAGGTACACAGGCTCCATCATCATTTCTGTAGAAGTTCTCCTTGCAGATGCATCCTCGTTGGCATTCAGTGTCATCACAATTAGAACAATTTGCAACGGTGGAGTTGCGGTTGGAACAGGTCTGTGGTCGACAAGTTCTTTGTGTGCAAGGAGAGTATTCCTCATTGGTAGGGCAGAGATCAGCTGAGGTCAGAAAAATGAAAACTTACATGAATTAACTGAGACAAGCTCTACGAGTTTCAAGGCGCGTGCGCGTCAATTAAATTAAATTATCTTTATTCCAGACATTTTGTCCATAGGCCCATAGCCTTTTACAAATAACATGTTAGTAGGGTTGTTAGTATACACAAAAAATAAAACATAATAATAAAGTATTAGTACTTTGTTAGTAATCAAAACAAAACAGTGTACACAAAGAATTACCTCGCCCAGAACACGCTAACGTTCAATGATAGTTACTATTCAAAAATATTCCAATATCGCGAGACATACTAAGTTTTATTGAAAACAACGAATAAAGTAAGAAAACCTCTGCTAGTTTCACAATGGGACTCTTATTCATCAGTAACTGGTTCGGCTGGGCGACGTCGCCACGACATACATGTTTTTTTTTTTTAAATAGAATTCATTCAATAATCGTGTGGTTTAATACTTACGACATTCTTCAAATGGTACGCACGTTCCATTGACTCTGCCATATCCATCCTTACATTGGCATTTTGGCTGGCAATTTAGAACTATTTTTATGTTGAATGGACAGTGACCAGTAAGTCTGGGTTTGCCACAAGCGTCAGATGGACAAATAGGAGGACAAGGATGGTACTCTTCATTGGGTCTGTCACTGCAGTCGAATGGAGCTGAAATAGATTTGATTTAAAGTTAAGCAAGTAGAATATACTTATAAAAAACAATTGACAAAATGATGTTTGTAATCGTGCATAAACTGCATTGTATTCTATTATATTTTTTAAATTCAGACACAGAACACTAAATATATCATAAACATCTTTTTGTCTTTCAGTGTACAGACAGACAGTCACAGAAAGGCTAGTCTTCTCTGTCATTATAAAGAATACAAATTCAATGCACTAATTAACACCCGGCTTCCGAAAGGCCGATCAATGTTAAAATCAATTTAATCTCTTGTCAAGTCATTTGATTGGTTGTTGATAATTCAGTCAACCAATCACATTACTTGACAGGAGATTAGTTAATTTTAGCGTTGACAAGCCTTTCAGAAACCGGGTGTTAGACTGCATGGTTGATGTGGTTGTTGGGTAACCGGCTGTCATAAAAATATGTCAAGGGTTCGATTCTTATACGGAACAATTATCGTATGATCCACAAATTGTTGTTCTCGGTTTGTGTGTGATGTTCATGTGAAATTGTAAAGGAGTCCACGACATTGGAGAAAATGCTAGTGTGGAGAAAGGCTTTAAAAAAATGGAGAAGAAAGTAGATTAATTTTGTTCTATCAACTTACGACAACTTCTAGTCGGTATACAAGTTCCATTGTCACTTCTTCTGTAATTAAACCTGCATTTACACTCGGGCACACAAGAGCCTGGAGGAAAAGATGGGTAACATTCGTCTTCCTGATCCGCGGAGTAAGGGCAGTTATCGGACGTACAATATTCAGAACAGTTTTGTAGTACTTCATTCTCAACACAGGTTGGAGCTGGAATTTTTATGGAGCAAATACATTAGGTATGTTGTAAATACAGCAAATTTTTGGAAGTTATCTTAAGTCAAATTTTTGGAAGTTATCTTAAGTCTAATGACAGTGTCTAAATTTTTTGGGTTGGAGCAAAGCTTCGGCAATGAACGGTCGGCTGGACATGATTCGTAATACGGTCCCACAGGACCGGAGGCCCGATCCTCCTCTGAAACCCTAATCCCCAAAACGCCGGCACGACGCTAATTGCTTTCCATCAGTTAATCCGGCTGCTAGATTGCCGAATCTGTCATATAAAAAGGCTACCTCTTTTGAGCCTCCTAAGGAATATAATGTTGCAGGTCGAGTCGTTAAGGAGTGTAATATTAAACAGAGATCGCATAGCAACGTTCTATGATAAAATTAGTAAAACAGCAATCTCCAATCTGGTTGTCAAACGCGGAGGTAAAGGGAAACCCATCTTTTATAGAGAAAACGATCCGTACAATACTGCCTGTCTCATGGATTGGTGATGATGATGATAATATAGAAGATGTTTGAAAAACTTACGGGGACATGTTTCTTCTGGTATACAATCGCCGTTCTCATCTCGTAGGTAACCGTATTTACAGATGCATTCCTTTATGCAAGAACCTTCGAGGATCATTGGGCAAGGTATAGGTTGTCCTCTTTCTTTGCAATCAAATGCTCTACAAACAGCTTGGGAACACGACGAGAATTCTTCATTGGGTGGACATGTTACCGCTAAAAAGATAAAAACTAATATACTGAATGCTTTATATAAAATACTTGCAGGTGCTTTAGAAGTTGCCATTAAACAAAAGTGCCGGAAAAGTCAGTTTCTGAACCTGATACTTATGTGGTGTTGACTACTAAATATATAGCTTAGCATTTTGAAGGGTTGATTGCTATCATTCCAAAGCTTGATTCTCTATGAACACCTCTTTACTCTGTACTGGTAGGGAATTGTCAATGAGTACATCAGATATCTATTACTATTTGCCTCTCACCTTGACAAGTATCCTCAGGAACACAAGTGCCATTTTCTGCTCTTAAATAGTTCTCTTTACAAACACAGCCACTATCGCATTCGTCTTCAGGGATTTCAGGGCAGGATACGTTTTCACCTTTCTCCCAACAGTTCATAGCTCTGCAAACACCTTGAACACATGGCACGAATTCTTCGTTCGTTGGACAAGATGGCGCTGCAAAAGTGGAGGGGATTTTGAAATTGTTTAACTTTATTTGATTGGTACGGCAAACGAGCAGATGGAATATCCGATGGTAAGCAAACAGCAATGTCCATGGCCACCTACAACTACGGAAGAGTTGCGACTGCGTCATCGATCTTTTGGGATTGTGTATTAGTTTTTGAGATTGAGGAGAGTTTGGGCATCCAATAACCTCACTCACACGGCAAAAAACAACAAACTCAGTTACCTAATGCAATCTAAATTGTCTAATTTATCCAAATCTATTTTTGCAAATCGCTTGCTATGAGTCCAGCGAAACTTATTTTCTTAGTCAAAATTATAAATATAATATAAATAAAAGCTTGGCTGCCTTTTTCCTTAGGATAATTTTCTACATCTTTGTGGATAATATGATAATAAATTAAATATGTAGGGTACTTGTAAATTACCTTCGCATTCTTCAGAAGGAACACAATTTCCTTCATCATTTCTGTAAAAGTTTTCTTTGCACACGCAGCCACGCTCACACAATTCATCATCCACTGAAGAACAGTTCTCCATAGTGGAATTCCGATCTGAGCAATTCTCTGGCCGACATGTTCTTTGTGTGCATGGAGAGTACTCCTCATTTTCAGCACAAAGGTCAGCTGTAAGTAAAAGTTTGCCTAATAAAATACTACTTTAAAACTCTTTTAAAATTAAACAAGCAATTCAATCCAAACTAATACATTATTATAAATGCAAAAGTAACTCTGTCTGTCTGTCTGTCTTTTCATTACGCCAAAACTACTCACCCGATTTGTGTGAATTTGGTACAGACATAATTTGGAACTCGAGAAAGGATATAACATTTTGTTGTTTTTAAGTTTTTATCCAGAAAACCCCACCGAAGCGGAAACTGATAAAAATCCCATGACATCGGGAAATATGTGGGTAAAACCAAAAATATGCAAGAACGACGAACGACGTCACGGGCAAAAGCTAGTCAAATATATCAATTGAAAAAATTAGGAAACCACCTCGATGCAGTTTACTTTAGCAACGGTTCCTAAACATCTATAATACAGGTAAGTGAATGAGGAAAATGATTGGTTTTACCTATCACCTACCTATTTGTCCATAGGCTCGCCCCTATTCCAATTCTAAATACCTATATTACGTGTGGGTTTTTTGAAATGAACAGAAAAGAATTTTAGTAACAACATTTACAGCTTTACATTAAAAACAATTGTACTCACGATGATTTAACAATGTACCTATATAATTTATTTTTACCTACTCTCGTCCGAAACACATTTTGGCCTACTTCAGGCACCTAATATTTTGAACTTGTTATATAGGTATGTAGGTTTAAGCAAAAGTGTATAAGTATTCTAAATTAGGTATTATTTTTTCAATATTTTTTTGTTTATTTATTTATTACTTTGATACTTACGACATTCTTCGAAAGGTACACATGTACCGTTGACTCTGCCATATCCATCCAAGCACTCGCACTTAGGATTGCATTTGAGACGAATCCCTATTTTGTATGGGCATCGTCCCTTGAGTCGGGGTTGACCACAATCATCAGATGGACACAACGGTGGACAAGGGTTGTATTTTTCATTGGGACGGGAACTGCAGTCGAAGGGTGCTAAGGGATAAATAAAATCATAACAATTTAGCGATACTTAAGTTTTAACTTTTCAATCTTGGTAATTCGACACACAATAGAAGAAAAGTAGTTAGGTACGGCGTTCGCTTGGGGTTTAATGAATTAATAAACTCTGGTGTTACAGAATTTTTTTAAGTGACTTTTGTCTACAATGGTTACCTACCTACATCACTGTCTTGTTCGTGATATTAACTGCAGAAACCGTCAATTTCGGAAACAGTTCATCATGTTTTCTTGACTAAATGTTAATCAGATTTTTGATTTTGTTTTTGTTTTTGTTTTTTTTTTACAAAACGTTGCCTCGCACTAGGATTTTCTCTTGTGTCGTAGGTGCAGATACAAACATACAATTTCACATATACATGACACCCAGACACAGGTTCACACAAGAGTTGCTGACCCCCGCGACACATTGTACGGCAGCCAGTTGCCTAGCCACCGCGCCAACCGTGCTGTCTATTCTGTGATTATGATGTGAATTGAAAATGATCAAAATTAAAGGCACTTACGGCAACTTTCAGTTGGAATACAGGTTCCGTTTTCAGCTCGTCGGTAGTTGAACTTGCATTTACATCTAGGAATGCAAGTATCTGACTTGGAACAAACTTCATTCTTCATTTGGTCTTCTGAGTATGGACAATTATCTGAGGTGCAGGACTGTGAGCAATTTTCTAATTGTTCATTTTCACTGCAAGTTGGAGCTGAAAGACATCCAGGGATACAAATTCAAGAAGAAGAATACGGATAATATTTATTTTGAATTTATCCGGAGGCATGAATACTGTTTACTAATTAAATATCTTTGCCTTTATCTTTATCTAGTATTCTTAAGGGCATTATTATGACTCGGTTATTAAACGATTTTATTAGAATTTGGAGGAGCTCCTATTTAAGGAGCCATAGTAAAATTAAGAGTAGTATATTTAATATACCTACTTATACTTCGCTGGACCTGTGCCTCTAATGGTCTATTTTTAATTGATACTTACGAGGACATTGGTCTTGTGGTACGCAAACTCCTTTGTCATTTCTCAGAAAATTATTATCACAAATACACTTTTTGATGCAGAATTCTGGTCGGACTCTTGGGCAAGCAATAGGTTTGCCCCTTTGCGTACAGTTTTCTGCTCTACAAGTAGCTTGGGCACATGTCGACCATATTTCATTGGCTGGACAAACTGGAGCTGTGAAATGAATATCTCAAATTTAAAAAAGATTAGGTAATTCTAACAAATGTCCTTTTAATCGGTATTGTTCGTTGGTCAACTCAGCAACACCCGTTAGTTGAACGGGTTGTAAGCAAACACTGGCCTGCTTGTCTCTAGAACGGGTCCACTTAAACTGGTCGGTTATTTCCTCAAAATGAATTTACACAGTTCTCACACATAATATTCACTATTTTGTTACATTTTCTGAATTAAAAAAACAAACGGACCTTTTTAACTTGTAACCTTGTTTCTAGAAATACCGGCATCATCCAGTTTTTATATCAAATTTTGACGAGTAAAAGTGTTACCGTGTAAACATACCTTCACATTGCTCCTCCTTAACACAAGTACCATTTTTATTTCTCAAATACCCTTCGTCGCAAACGCATCCCTTCTTGCAAAACTCGGGTCTTATTCGGGGGCATTGTATTGACTGACCTATTTGAGTACAGTTCAGAGCTCGGCATTCACCTTGTATGCACTCGGAATACCTTTCATTTTTGGGGCATACTCCAGCTGGAAAACACGGAATATAAAATGTTATGTGTACGTACGTATATTATAAACTACATGTTAAATTGATATAATTTTCGATATCTCTGTTTTATAAAAGCTTCTCTCTCGCAGCTACACCCGCTGCTCGGTTCCTACAGATCGTAGCGTAATGTTTTATAGCCTAAAGCCTTCCTCGATAACTGGACTTACTAATACAAAAATAATTGTTAAATTCAAACCAGTAGTTTCGGAAAGTGCGTTCAAACAAACAAACTCTTCAGCTAACTATAGATAACTTCTCTTAAGTCTTCACTTCACTTAAGTATTGATAACTGCTGATTTGCCTTTAAACAACCACTAAGCAACAATTTTTTATTACTTACGACACTGTCCATACGGCACACAAGTTCCATTTAGTCTCCAGTATCCGTTAATGCATCTACATTTAGGGTTACATGTTAAAACTATTCCAATATTCCCAAAAAGTGCTGGACATTTGCCAGTTGGTGAAGCTTGACTGCAATCATCAGTTGGACATAGTGGTGGACAGCTGACAAACTCTTCATTTGGCTTTGAACTACAGTCAAAAGGTGCTGCAAAAATGTTAAAGTGTTTCATATTAGTCTTATTTTAAGAAATTCTACGTGTGTGATGTAGTTGTTATGTTTAGGGTACGATGGGGTTGACATGTCCTTGTGGATAAAAACCCCAAAACAAAAAAAAAAAAAAGAATAAAAAAAAAAAAGAAATTTTACGTCCTCAGAACCTACTACTAATTTTCGATCGGATCGAACTTTATTATAAACTAGTCTTTTTCGTACAATTAAGTATTGGTAGAGAAGGATACCATATAATTGGTGATTTTGCGACTAAACATTCTATGACGTCTCTTGAGATTGGTCTTTTGGTCCACTTTGAGACGGTTGACAGGCGGGAACGGAGTTATAATTTATAATAATTGGTGAAATGGTTATAAGAAAAACGCGTGATCAAATTTGTCAGAACATTGGTGTGGTTAGCTAGAATTTTAAAAATCAAACAACCGCCTAACGTGTTACGTCCGCCATTGTAAATATTGTGCATTAAGTACAAAAAATATAATATATAAAAATAAAATAAAAACATGAACTAAATGATTAGCATTTAGTTCATGAGATATTCAAGTCTTACTTAACTGTATGTGTCTTTGTTATATTAAATACTATTTATATTAAAGTATAAGTAGAAAGTAAAAATATTAAAGCATAAACCGTTTGATTACGGCCGAATAGAACGCATTTGTCTCCACCAGTCTTCCTTTGGGTGCCGTAAAAGCTAACTGACAGTGACAAGGTAATTGTGTCTCACTCTAATAAACATTTTTATTTTGAACTCCGTTTCCGCCTGTCAACCCTCTCAAATTGGACCTAAGGACCAAAGGACCAAAAGACCAATCTCAAGAGACGTCATATAATGTTTAGTCCCAAAATATAAAGAACTTACGGCAACTTCTAGTGGGTATGCAGGTCCCATTGATGGCGCGACGGTAGTTGAAACGACATTTGCAGACTGGAGGTGGACAGACATCAGGAGTGGTGCATAGTGAATTATCACTGTTGTTACTAGTTGGGCAGTAGTTGGATTCGCAGTTCGCTGGACAGTTGTCCTGTATTTCATTGGGCCCGCATGTGGTTGGACCTGAAATTGGAACAACGAGCATTGAGATTAGTATACTGCTGTTTTCATCCTATTCTTTCTTCTGATTATATTTGAGAAGAATAATATCAGTTTCGCTTTACGAGAATTAATCATGAAAATAATGTCGTATGTGCAGTAAAAAACAAAACCTACTGTTGTTTTTATACAACTAACGTATTTGACAAATAAATCTATCTTTATCTTTTATCTTTTAATTTGTGTCTAATTAAGTATGTCAAGAGCCAAGAGTAAATAGTTGATGCTCGCGTGTTAGAGAGCCATTGTCCGTCACGCGTGGACCAGCTCAACTGCAGTGATACCGGCGAGAAACCACGGTTTCGTTGTGTTTTGCTGTGAGAGTGAGGTTACCCTAATACCCTTCCTATTCCCGATCCCTAAACCACAATTCGCAAAACGGCAGCAACGCACTTGTACCACCTTTAGAATTTTAGTGTTCATGAATTGTATCCTATAGTAAAATTGGGTAAAAGCTAGATGTTAAATAAGAAAAAAAGATTGTTACTATTATTTTAGAATAGAAACTCTTTTGAGAAATTCTGAAAAAAGTTCTAATTACTAATTTAAGCTAGCCGGTTGCGTGACATAGTCGCGACGCGCGATTTGCTCATGAATTAGAGTCTCGGGGTGGATTGAAACTAGTAGGGCTTTTCTCAGTAGATTCACGTGAGTAAGTATATACTTATTTATAATAAATTTTGTGTAGCTTCTTGTCTTTACTTACATTCTTGTTCATCAACACAAGTGCCGTTATTTGCCCTCAAATAACCTTTCTTGCAGACGCATCCTCTTTTGCAGGACTCATCGTCAACAGCCAGCTGTCTAGAGGACTGACCCCTTTCTGAACAATACTGTGCTCTTTGAATTGATTGAGGACATATTGAAAACTCTTCGTTCTTCGGACAATTTTTAACTGAAAAAAAAAACAAAATAAATAAAAAGTAAATATTATATCGTGATGTTATTTTTTTTTTAAGTTAATAGCTTAAATAATAATTAAAAAAAGTTAATAATGTTCACTAGGGATAGTGTAGCTTTCCAGCGGTAAAAAAATGTTTAAAATTAGTTAAGTTCAAACTTAATTCATACAAAAAAACAATCAAATTTTTCATTTTATAATATTAGTATAGACAAAATCGATGGATACAAGACACTTCCAATCAGCCTATTTGGAAGTCATAATAAATACCTATAATGGCTGATTATAATGTCACCGTTATTATTAATTGATAAAAAAAATCGGCATAACTAATGCGACAATAAAGGCCAATAATTTATCGTTACTTTCTTCATAAAACCTGTTGTAAACTGACAAAATAGATAAACATCTTAATAGAAATAAAAATTGTCTCGCGAAGAAATGTCTAATTCAATTAAAGGGACATTTATAATATATATTATTATTTATTTATTAGTAAACTAGCTACTCTCACGTGGTTTCACCCGCTGCTCCTACTGATAGCGTGATGTTTTATAGCCTAACGCCAATAAATGCTATATTAAACACAAAAAGATTTTTTCAATTCGAACCAGTAGGTAGTTCTTAAGATTGGCGCGTTCAAACAAACAAACTTTTCAGCTTTATAATACTATACATAATACATATAGTACACATAGATAATGTACAGGTAAAATTTTACCAAAAATAAAAACGTGTATCCTTTTTTATTGTGTTAAAATTGATTCTGATTAAAATGACGTAAAATACAAATTTACATAACAAGTTTATTGGTCTACAAACAGTACATTACCTTTTCTGTCACCTGTTTAAACAGAATTAGCATAATCTTTTATTTATTGCAACTATTTATTAAATCAATATTTAATAACGTATTGTAATGTACAATAGATTTCTATATGATTTCATGGTTATTCATTTTACAATTTTTAGGTTACACGTGATTTATTTTGAATATTTAAATTTTTTAAATAAAATTTGATTCCCAGATATATTATTGTATTTTTTTATTATCAATTCGTCCCTTATGTCAAAAAATATCAAAATATTTATTGTTATCGTTTAGTCAAGTTAGCAAGGCCCCCCGAGTCCCCTACCAATGGTTCCAGTTTCAGTTTTTTTTTATGTAATAGGTTGGCAAACGAGCAGACGGATTACCTGATGGTAAGCGATCATGGTCACCCGCAACGGAGGAGTTACGAGTGCGTTGCCGACCTTTTAGGGATTAGGGATTTGGAGATTTGGGGATTGAGGAAGGATTGGGGGAGGGGAAGGATTGGGCCTCCGGTAACCTCACTCACACGGCGAAACACTACGCTGTGGTTGTTTCACGCCGGTTTTTTGTGAGGCCGTGGTATCACTCCGGTCGAGCCGACCCATTCGTGCCGAAGCATGGCTCTCCAACACTTATAAGTTTTTATTGTTTTGACTCGGTCTTCTAGCAAGATTTATAGAAATATGCTAATATTTTTTACCCTTTGGGTACGAAACTCACAAATACGTATATTTTGAGGTATTCGAAACATGCAGTCAGTCCATGAATTAATATTTAAAAAATTCTTTATCACATTCTAAAAAAGTGACGAGTTCGAATAACAAATAACCTGTTCCGTTCTTTATTGATACATATCTATAAAAAGTATCGTCGTTGATACATATATGTATTATGACGTCATCAATTCATAGCGCGGTCTTAATAACGGTGGATGCTAATGATAGATACGTACATGCCTACGTAAGTATTAAGTATAAAAAATAAAATGTTTGCAATGCAATGACGTCGATTGTGCTTCCCATTTTACGAATGTGAAGTTTTACCTTATTCATTTTTTTCGATTATGGGTAAGTACCTACCTACAAGTTCTAAACGGCTGTTTTGTTTATTTTTATCACATTTTTATTTATAGATTACCTATTATTATCAAAAGTTTAGAAATAGCAGCAGGTAAATTATATCGAAAATAGAATTGGAAAATGGACTAGTTGAATAATTGAATTCTTTTTTTTAAATGTTTTCGTAACATTTGTTCTTACGACGTTGCAAGGTTTGTAAGTAAATGATTCTACTCTTTTTTTGGGCAAATGTCACCAAATTCTTTTTCTCGTTCTGGGTGGGGCGAGATGAAGTGTAAAACTCTTACTGTTTTATCATTCTGTTCATTCATCTGCCTCAGGCCGTGGTAAGTTATTGTTTTTTTTTCGCAACACTGACTGAACATCAATCCTGTTGAGATCCATCTGTGATGGTCTATTGGCTCTTTGTGGCGCACCCGAAACGCTTCGCGCCTTCGCTCGGGTCTGGTTCTGGTCGGGCAGTAAGCTATCATTCCAGTCAGATCCGTGGTTACGATGGCAAGACTCCTCACGCAATACCCGACGCCCAGGATGTCTCCTACAGCGGTGGCTAGCGTAAGAAGGATATAGTTCTCTCTTTCACGCGCTCTGCTTCCTTTTTTTGTGAGGATCATTGATTTGCCACATTAAGGTCGTACGCGAGAGGTCACCGTTACACGACAGTACTCAGCCCAAGCAGGGCACACCGCCACCGTGTGCTCCATCGTGCCGTCTGAATGTTTCTCATATTAACGGCAACCGGACTTTTCAGGCTGGATCCGAAATAGGTACTAATGCATACTGTAATAATATAATAGTACTGAGCTGTATATGTGGATGCATGACGTTTTTCTAGCCACTACACTAGCGGTAAGACCCCGCTGCTAAAATGTCTGCTTCATAATTCTTAATATAATTCGATAATACTATCTGGATATACCTAAGTTAATTTGTATACCATTCAGAGTCACCAAGGGACAGCTTTCAGGGTCCTTTAAATTTTGTGTGTCATAAATCGAGATTTCCAGAATTTTCATAAAAGCGTATATTTATTGGACTAGATGATCTGGCGAGTTTTGTTCCTTGTTAAATCTTGATCTTTATCAAGTAATATTAACATAGCATAGTTTCTATTGAAAAGAGAATTGTATTTTTGCTCTATTTTCCCATAAACTTCCTACTACTATCTACATCTCCACGAATAATTTTAGAAAAAGAACATATAAAAAAATACTAACAAATAGTTACAAGATAAATAAGTAGTTACAAGATAATAATAATAGTTAAATAATAAAAAAAGAAGACGATAAGATAAAACCTACTTACATTTTAAAAAAGATATATAGTGTATAGAGAAATTAATTCATACGTGTTTAGATTGGTCTATAAAACAAAATACTAGCGAGTACTAATGAACCCATGTTTTTACTATCTTATCAATATCTTGTTTTTTTTTGTGAGGGGAAAATCATCCAATAACTTCTCCCGCCCAGGGCCGGGCGGGAGGGAGTGTCAGACTCTTACTGACTAATAATCCCCCTATTCCTTCTCCTGCTCTGGGCCGAGGTCGCGGTGCCTCATTGCGCTTACCCCGCAACCCCAGCTGAACATCAGCCCTATAAGGCACCGTCAGTGGTGGTCTATTGGCTCTTTGAGGCGAGCGCGGAACGCTACACGGCGTACGCTCGGGCCTGGTTCTGGTCTGGCAGCGAGCTGCCCTTATTCACCGACCGCAGACCCGTGCTTACGGTGGCCGGAGATCGTCCCTTGATCCCCGACGCCCATAGTGTTTCCAGTTGCGGCGGCTGGGGCGTGAGGAGGAGGATTGCTCTCTCACGCGGGCCGCCTCCCTCTTTGCGAGCATAACTGCTTCACAGAAGGAGGAGACGGCGTCCCAGTTCCTCTCACTCCGCACCATGGCCTCGACTAAGGCCGGGCGCGAGAGGTCACCGCCGCTGATCACTTCCCTGAGGATACGGCGGTGCTCAGCCCAGGCAGGGCATACCGCCACCGTATGCTCCACCGTATCCTCTACGTGGTCCTCGCAATGACGACGATCGGGCGTTTCCTCCCGCTGGATCTGAAACAGGAACCTACCAAAGCTGCCGTGCCCGGTAAGGATCTGCGTCAGGCGGAAGGTGAGGACACCATGGCGTCTCTCAAGCCACGCCTCAAAGAGGGGTCTTACCGCTGCTATAATAGCGTGCCCAGCTCTCGGTTGCGACAGTCGTTGTTTCCACTCTGCCATGATCTCGCCGGAGCTCATTCCACCACACACTAATTTTGCGCGGCATAGACGTGCGCGAGCGCCTTCGTTTCCAGATCCCACGGCGGTATCAATATCTTGGTATACAACCTCATTATACTAAACCCGTTCTTCCGTTGCAGTTTTTGCTTGAATGCTTATTTCAAGATGTACAGGTTTTTACTCAAACGGATCGCTACGTTACGTAGTTTTATGGTATTGTTCTATAAAATGCATAGTTGCAAAGCTGGTCACTGTTCCTAAGATGTTCCAATAAATAAAAACAACTAGGATTCTAAGGAACTAAACGTTTTTACTTACAATAGTTAAGTGATTCTTGACCATGGCTGATTGAAACTATTACCAATGTGACTTTTTCCGAGTTATATGTACTTTCTATGATTATTTAGACACCACTGACATACGGTGAAGGTAAACATCGTGAGGAAGTACTTATCATTTGTAGTTATAAGTTTGAAATCGCCAATCCTACTTGATGATTAATGCTCAAACCTTCTCCGTGTTAAAAGAGGCTTTTGCTCAGCAGTTGGCACTTATAGGCTGATAATGATATGATGTTTTTTTTTAACGACTTAATTTTATTTGAACAGTTTAAACAATTTTGACTGTTTGATTGGTTAACGTAAAAGATAAACTAATAATGTTTTATATTCATGAGAATCACGTGTTGAATTCTTGAAGTATTGAAAGGGCCTTTTAAAATGGTGCCCTTTTCAGTGTGGGGTGAGGCCTTTGCTCTAAAGGGCCTTTTAAAATGGTGATTGGGATGAGGCCTTTGCTCAGCTGTAGCACTTATAGACTCATGATGATGAAGGTGACTGATTAGACTGAAACTGATTTATAAGATTTAAGTACTTACTTTTACGACATTTCACTTTTTTGATGATGTTGTTTGTTAGTAATGGCGCTGATGTTGATTCGGTTGAAACAACATTAGTTGAAATTGTCGTATCAAGTTCATCTGCAAAAAAAGTAAAATTATATGTTAGTAGTAGTTAGTAATTTTTATTAAGCGTCGTCGTCGTAAATTAAACGCTTTATTTGATTGCACCGTGATAAGTGTATTAATTGTCTTTGTAGATAAAAATGGTTAATTTTGTCCTATTACAGTTATTCGTTGGTACCGAATAATAAAAAAATAAAAAAAAAATTGAAAAGAGAACTATAAACAAATCTATTGAAAACTCTTTCAAAAATTAAAATGAATTTTGCTATTTTCGATTTAATTCATCAAAACCCCAAGCGTTCGCGTATCTACCGTACCGTTCTTCTATTGTGTATCTAGTTACCACGATTGAATTATTAATTATAATTATAATTATAAATAATAAATAAACTTACCATTACATAGAGCTAGGACCAACACATGAGTCACTATCGTTACACAGAGCCACAATCTGACCGCCATCGTGTCTACGCCACTTCTGATACAAAACGGTACTAGGTATACTTATTTATATAAAACATATCTATAGACATATAGCCACATAGCTATAGAGGATATAAAAACCAGGTGTTTTATTGTACACGTTATATTCGAAACAAAAACAATCGAGTCGTGACCAAAGGAATATACGCTGATAGATATTTTTTTTGTGTAAATTTTTATTGTTTTTTTTTTATATTGACGAAAAAGAATTTTATGTTCTTGAGGAGTCGTTTGGATAGTGGTTTATTTTTGACACACCCATATTCTAGTATTGTTTATTAATCACGTAATCTACTCCCTCCGTTTTCCCTAGGTTTCAGTACTAAGAACCTCCCTGTTTTTTATCAGCAATAATTTATATTTAGATGTTAATGGAATTGTCTTGTTACACCAATTTTTATTCTTGTTTTTTAATTGCATTGTTTTTTATTTACTCGTAGTTTTAATTAAGGATTTGTTTTAAAAACACTAGTGACAACACAATCTTAAGTTACAATAACCTGGGTATTTTAAAAGTAGGTACCCACTAAAAAGGTTGGTTTACTTAAAAAAATGTCACCATTTCAAACGGCCTTTTCAGTAATTAAAAAAAGAAAACGATGGTAATACGTGATTCTTATTAACATAAAACATTATTTGTTTTATCTGTTACTTTAACTTATCAAACAGCAGTTCAAATTATTTCATCTATTCAAATAAAATTTACTCGAAAATAAACCTTAACACCTATCGCATAAAATAAAATATTTATTGAAGTAAATTTGAAATTAGAGTGTTAGTTGATGTGCGATATTTTAGCAATTCAGAATGACGTACTAATTACACGTGAATTTAACTTGGAGTACGCACGTGTAAGGATGTATCACTGTGTGACGGCATTACTGTTAATGACGTCACGTCAGACGTGTGTGTGATACAAAAACCAAATACGTTTGTGAGAGAATACCTATCACTTTAGGGTACTTTATAGGTCGATTTGACCGGACTGGTATAACGGCATCACAGAAAACCGGCGTGAAACAAAGCTTGCGTTGTGTTTCGCTAGAATTAAGTTTATAAATAAATCCCCAACGGCAAGCGGCAACGTATCTATTACAATTAAGAGGTTGTCCACGTGACTGGAAAAGTAGAAGAATCGGTTCGATTATTTAGCCGAGTATAAAAATTATCGAGAATTAAGAAAAAACACGATTACCTTATGCATGATAAGGTAATCGATCGGTGTTTTTTTTTGCATTGATCAAAGTCAAAATAAAACCAAACTTGATAGTTCACCATTAAGTAAATTTTTTATTTTAAATTAAACAAAGCCATTATCATTTTTCGTTTAAATGGTAATTATTTTCCAAAGTATACCGGTGGTAGAGATGTTACAGGTACAGCTGGAATTAAGGAGAATAAAAATTATAATACCCTACTTCTCAAAATAAAAATAATCTAAAGCTCGATTGGCTAGTTTACAAAAAAAAAAAAACATTAAAAGTGCTCAGTGTGGCGACAAAATATAAAGAAAAAGACATTTTCCCTTTTACAAACGTACATTTATGGAAATTTATTTCATACTTAGTACTAATGATGGAACTAACTACAGAACTATTTTCTATTCCGTGGAACTAACTCTCTTTATTTGTTTGACAATTCATTTCAAATGAGCACATTAAAAGAAAATAAGCACTTACGGCATTCGCTAAAGGGTACACATACGCCGTTTTTCCTCCAATAACCTTTGATACATCGGCAGGCCGGTTCGCATTCCGCCACTAACAGCAAGCCGTTGACTGAGCATAACCCTTCAGAAGATGCTTCATCACAGTCATCTTTTGGGCAATATGGTGGACAAGCTACATACTCTTCATTGGGACGGTCACATGTAAATGGCGCTGGAAGATAAAAACATCATATTCCTTATATTCCACTTATCCCTTTCAAGGTTCGTCTTGCCAATTAAATAATAATCCATATTAGTCGATTGTAGCTTTTCATAATAGGAGCAAGCAAGGAGTTCTTATTTCTTATAATAGAAGTCTATTATATCTCTCGTGTTGCAGTTGCACAAATTTACTGGTAAATCAAATTCACTTAGCTAAAACGTAGAGCTTAATCCCAATTAGAACTTTTTTTTCGGAATTCGTGAAGTTTATCAAGAGAGATGAATGAAAATAGCAATAACATTGTGGCACTTTGTGTTCTTCTTTTATTTTACTTACGTGCCTATATTAAGAATATTGTAATAAAAATGAATAAGAGTAATTGCTTTTGTATCGGACTTTTTTTTTATTTTTTATTTAATAGGTCGGCAAACGAGCCGACGGATTACCTGATGGTAAGCAATCGGCGCCGCCCATTGACACTCGCAACGGGAGGAGTTACGAGTGCGTTGCCGACCTTTTAGGGATTAGGGATTTGGAGATTTAGGGAATAAGGAGGGATTGGGGGAGGGGAAGGATTGGGCCTCCGGTAACCTCACTCACACGGCGAAACACAACGCTATGGTTGTTTCACGCCGGTCTTCTGTGAGGCCGTGGTATCACTCCGGTCAAGCCGACCCATTCGTGCCGAAGCATGGCTCTCCCACACTTAGCATGGCTCTCCCATGGACTATTCAAATAAATTAATAAAATAAATCATTATCCGCAGTTCTTCGTCGTCAACTACTGGAAATCGTCCGTTCCAATTGAACACCAAAAAATTAGATTTTTCTTTGTACAAGTGAGTGAGTGAGGTTACCGGAGGCCCAATTCTTCCCCACCCCCAATCCCTAATCCCCAAAAGGTGGACAACGCACTCGTATCTCTTCTGTTGTTGTGTGTGTCCATGGGCGGCGCTGATTGCTTACCATCAGGTAATTCGTCTGTTCGTTTGCCGACCTATCACATAAAAATTAAAAGAAAATAAATGTTCAAGCTTAAAATAGAATGCTTTGTATGGTGCATTTGAAACATTCTTACTAATCTAACCAATACAAAATTACTAAGAAGTTGGACTTAAATTCCACTAACGGCAAGATGCAGTGTCAATGCAAGTTCCATTGGCTGCTCGTTTCATGTTGAAACGACATTTGCACCTTGGGGGACCGCAACCTTCCGTATTGCAAACCTGGTTATAATTCTCTTTATTCGGACACTTGTCATTGTAACACTTTGAAGGACAATAGTCTTCCACTTCATCTTCAGGACATTTTAGATCTGTAAAGCATTATTGGTTATTATTATTACGTTATTCGGTTTCTTTGGGTCTCAGGGTTACAACCGCGTGATCCAGGTTATCATCTACAAACCAAATTACAACCAAGGTCCAGCCGTTCTTGCGTGAAAGAATAACAAACTTACATTTTTAGTTTTTTAGATTTATAATATCAGTTGGATTCTAAACTTATATACAAAAGTAATATATAACATTAATGAAAAATTAATATTAAAAAAAAATCGTGCATCGTGATAGTCGGTTTATCATAACTGATAACACTTTTGTAGCCAATAAGCCTAATATAGTGGTCATAAATGAACTAGCGCATCGCACGAATATAATTATTAGTAGGATTATTACTATATACTTCTGCAATGGATTGTCTTGGTTATTCTACACGGAACAAATTCCGTGATTGAAATACTTATAATAACGAACGAATACTTATAAAAACAATATCAATAAGACAAATGATAGAAAGACGGAAAGCATGTAACAATAAAGATATTAATGAATGATATAGATATGAATGGTTTATACATATTTTCTAACTGTATTTAGACAGCATTGACTAATGGCGAAGGAAAATATCGTGAGGAAACCTGAACTTACAATTTTTACTTATAACTTGAAATCGCCAATCTGCCTAAGCAAGCGTAGTGATTGATGCTCAAACCCATGTGAGAAGAAGCCTTTGCTAAACAGTGGACCCTTATAGGCTGATGATGATTTATTGCAATGTAGTAAAAGTGGTGTCCCAAGGAATAACTAGATTCCCGCACCCCAAAGTCGCAAGAGCTTGACAGTCTCCTTAATCATCCCTATTGTATTTTAAGAAGATCTTTCGCATCATGGAAATAACAAACATGATGGTGGCTTTTGAAACTACATTACATTTTTTTTAGATTTCACTCAAGGTATGCTATAGAGAACCTAGATAATAACAAATTGTATCTAGCAATCCAAACTAATATTATAAATGCGAAAGTAATTTTGTCTGTCTGTCTTTTCTTCACGCCTAAACTACTGACCTATTTCTATGAAATTTTGAAACTCGAGAACGGATATAGGTTAGTTTTAATGCCAAAAATCTGCAGGAAGTCACAATACCACGCGAACGGAGTCGTGTTTAAAAGCTAAGTAATAATAATAATGAATCGAAATTCTGATGCATTTCTAGTTATTCTTATGCATAAAAATATTGAAAAATAACTACTACCCACACAACAATGTGATTTCGGAAGGGAACCCTTCGTTAGCGAGTCTAACTAGCACTTAGCCGTTTTTTTTTAATTAGACAGTACTATTGATAGCACTAAAACTTATAGAGCCTTATGAGCCAAATAATAGAAACTGATAGAAACACAGAAAACCGGCGTGAAATAACCACTGCGTTGTGTTTCGCCGTGTGAGTGAGGTTACTGGAGCTCCAATCCTTCCCCTTCCCCAATCCCTCCTCAATCCCTAAATCTCCAAATCCCTAATCCCTAAAAGGTCGGCAACGCACTCGTAACTCCTCCGTTGCGAGTGTCCATGGGCGGCGCTGATTGCTTACCATCAGGTAATCGGTCTGCTTGTTTGCCGACCTATTACATAAAAAAAACTATTAAGGTTATATTATAGCATATAACATATTTTTTGTATAACTTCCCTAAATACAAGATGATACAAAATATACTCACCTACTTGTTCATTATCATCACCAATACTCGCAGAGAGCACCGTGACAAACACGAGAAATAGAAAAACAAATATAATACGCGTCATTTCTGAACGACAGCCTTCACGACTATGATACTTTTAACGACTATACATAAAAATAACATTTAACACGTCTCTTCTGTTCCTAATAGGTACTTGATAATAACAAGAACATAATAATAATAACTACTACTATTTTCTTGAGTTTAACGCCATCTGTTGCGTATCTGGTAAACTTTTTCGCTGAAAGGTTTATTCTACTGCCAGAAGGTGTTATATTTCATGCAATATGGTTGATCGTGTGAGAGTTTCTATATTGTATAAGAGATGGCCATAGTGAGCAGTTTTTAATGCAATGAATATCTTCATCTCCTGGCTACACGAGTACATATAGCCTTTTGTAGGTTCAAATAGATGCCCATGGGGCTTGAAAATCATGTGAATTTGTTCTATAGTAAATGCGTCTATTTGAAGAATAGGTTCGTAGGCTTATCCTAGATACATTATTTTAATTGCATTAAAACTAAAAGGCTATAACTGGGTAGATTTTAAGTTGTCGTAACATATTTACATCAAATACTTGTAATATTGATGAAAAAAGCTATAAAAATTAAGTATATCGTTACATCGATGACTGCACTTGTACTAAAAAGTCAAAATGATTTGTTATTGACCTAGAAAACTACGCAATTGGTAAGATATTTTATTAAATTGCAAATCGGCTAGTCGGTCCCAAATGCAAATAAGAGCCTAACTGTATAACTACATGAAAACTATTTTCCTGGAAACGATTTTCGGCAGGTCCGTAATTAGGTTAACCGCACTAATCCTCTTGGCGGACTTTTAAGCGTCCGGGACCCGGAATACTCTGCAACCCGGACATTGGTAACTTGACTTATCTGATATGAATTTATTAGGGATTATTTGAGACCTTTATTCTTCATGGGGAGGTTTCATAAGATCTATGACGGTTCTGTATGGGTGTTATGTTGTTCTGTACGGGTAAATGAGAAAGGCTTGTTGGGGCTTTCGGATTCAAAAATATGTATGTCGTCAAGAATATTTGTTGCAAGAATACAACGATGAGGTAGTTAATTTCAAAAGTAAAAATAGTGGGAGAGCCAAGCTTCAGCACGAATGGGTCGGCTCGACCTGTGACAACCTGATTATTTCCCATTCCCTAAATCCCCAAAACCCTATTCCACAAAAAGTCCTCTCTCTCCCTCCTCTAGTGTTGCGTCGATTGCTTACCATCAGATAATCCGTCTGCCCGTTTGCCGACCTTTCAGATAAAGTAAAAATTATCAGCTAAAAATATTTAAATAAAATCAAATAATGTCCCACGGCAAGTACCATAATATAATGGTGGCCACAATGACTCTTTATTTCCAAATACCTACTGCCCTGAAATTTGTCCTTCTCAAAGGTTGAATTTTTAATAAAAATGACAAATTGATCTGTTATCCTGAAGACAGGATGATAAGGCATTTTAAAATCCCTTAACTCTTTGCTGCGTGATAAGCGGTTGATTTATTTAGTTTAGTTTTTTAGGTATTTTGTATTTTACCTAGAAAAAAGTTTTTCAGAAAAAGAGTTTTAATAAGAAGATTTTGTCATGATTATATATAGAGATTATATATTGTACGTATATTTCGCTCAAAAGCAAATGATTGTTAGTTATGACAAATCTTTTGTTATTTTGTTTCCTAAACCTACATGAAATTTGAACCTTACGTACCTTACGCTTAAAGTCGCCAGTTACTTAGCAAAATGAGTATAAAGTTGTAAGTAACAAAATGACAATTGCTTAAATCAACTTAGTTAAATTTCAATGTTGAATACTCTTGTTTTCGTTGCTATTTGTTTTCGCACCAACCAGTGTGAACTGGTTCAATTTATCTAAGTGCTCGCAAAGGTTTTATTGATAAAAAGCCGAGCGACTAAGCAGGGGAGGGTCCTGTACAAAATATGTTGATGAATTCAATGTTGTTCGAAGTGAAATTGAATTATAGGGTGACCACATTTCTCAGTCTTTAAATAAGTGTGGGAGAGCTATGCTTCGGTACGAATTGCCCGGCTCGCTCGGAATGATACCACGGCCTCACATGGCGTGAAACACCCACAGCGTTAAGTTTCGCCGTGTGAGTGAGATTGCCGGGTCTCCATTTGCTTACCATCAGGTCAGCTCGTTTGCCGTTCTATCGCAAAAAAAAATAAAAAATGTATAGATTTAAATTTTTGACGTTTTATACTTTTTTAAATAACACATTAAGGTAAGGATTTTAGTTTGTAAACCCTGGGGAATCCTAATGGAAATGTAGATAAACTACTTGGTAATTTCTTCAGGGACTAAATACGTATTTGTTTGCTAAAGATGGTCTAACGACGTTCAGATATTACGAGACTTTTCGCCTACTTTTTTCGGAAATTGCCAAACTTTTATAAGTCAAGCACTAAATGTTTTGGTTTTATGGAAGTTTTTTCTAGAATATTTTACTTTGGCTGGTTTATTAATGTCTATCAATTTGCTGTAAAAGATTTTTTTATATCGCTATAAAAATGGAATGAAAGTTTCTACATTTCTTTTCGGTAACAAACTGTCAGACTCAGAGGTTTAATGATTAGGTCTGTAGACCTTAGCGACAATTTTATTTAAAAAACGAATATCGAGGACTGGATTAAGTATATTATTAATAACAAATGTACTTAGGAAAACTGGTTTGTTTAATAGAAAAGAGTCCTAACTCAGACAAGAAGGTATTTGAATCTAAAAACTAATGTTTCAATAATAAAGTCAAAATTTAAAATACCCTACCCACTTTCTTCAGTTAATTCTGTTTTCTAAAATATGCAATTATTGTAGTTCTTTCTTTTTCGAGATTATTTTGGTTAGTTCCATAATGTTAGGTTTTTACATTAGTATTTCCATGTAGGTATCAATAATTTATAATAAAAAATATTAATTTATAGTTAGATTGTTCCTGTTATTGGCTTAATAATATTAGCAACTGCTTATAAATTATGAAATGACATTTTATATTTATTAAGAAATATATACTTAGAATTTAAGCTTTGTTAGAAATAATCATTACAGAATCAAATAGAAAATTCTATATAATTCGTTTACTAAACGTGACTTTATAAAGGGACCACTATTGTTTTGTACAGAAGTATTGTTTTTCTTTGAGCTAAGGAATAATTTAAAAAGTACGTAAAACACAGCTGTCATATTATGAAAATAATAAAAGCCTATCGCTGGGGTTGCGTTCGTTCAGGGTGCGGTCGAGTCACCGACAAGCCAAGGCGTCAAAGCTAGCGAGCTTCTACATTTATGTATGCCTTTATAAAACTTAGAAATAGTAAGATAACTAAGAAAATTCATAAAACTATTTTGTATTCTTAAAATAATTGGCCATCTGAACCAATATGGGACGATGGTTGCCTACAGCTTATCTCTCTACCACCAGATCTATGACAGGAAACACAGTTGAAAGTCAACGTTTTTGTGTTATTTGAATTTGTACCATACCCTGAAAGTTTCATGACGTATTTTTGAATAGTAACTATCGTGAGACATAGTAAATCGATAGAAAATAACGACTTCTTCACGTAAATTTACTGAGAAAAGTTCTACTAGTTTCAAGTCACCACGGGTCTCTTATTCATAAGCAGCGTGCGCGTCGCGTCACGCGACTCCGCTGAGCCGACTGACTATACGAGATTGCGCGCCCAACGCTCACCCTACAAATCAATAAACAAAGTCTTGCCCTATTTATTTGTTTTCCATTATAACTAGTGTATTATTGGTTTAATGTACCGATACATAATATCTATATATTATACTAGCGGCCCGCCCCCGCTTCGCACGGGTCCAACTATCTCGCTATCAAATGGTTACTTTTTTATAATCTTCCCCTCTACTTTTCTAATATTTTCTTTGATAAGAACCTTCTCCTGTCAATAACAAACACAACAAAAAAAGAATTAGCAAAATTGGTCTAGGCGTTCTTGAGTTATGCGCTTACCAACACATTTGGCGATTCAATTTTATATATATAGATAAATAAATATAAAGTCGTTTTGGTTGCTCTTTTTATAACTCAAGAACAACTGAACTGATTTTGGTGAGAATTGATGGGAATGTAGTTTCCAACCACAAGAAGGCTCGGGTCGAGTAGGTAGGGTAGAGTAGTGTAGGGTAGATAGTGAAGGTAGGTAACTAGGTAGTGTAGGTATTCAAATGACGGAAGCGAAGGTAGTAAAAGCCACTGGTAAAAGCCAGTATAAAAAATTATAATACGTCAGTTTACTGCCAATCAGCCTCGAAACCCGCTCTAACACAAACCACAGCCTTATAGCTACTAAACTCAGTACAGAACTCCGTTCACACTAAAATATACACGAAGGCAATTTCGTGGCGGTCTCTAAGGAATCGAAAGAAAACATTTGAGTTCGTTCTTATAACTTGGTGTACTTACTGTAACGTTTCGAATGTGGTGTTAGTGAGTGTCGGGTTTGCACTTGGGACTGTTACTTGGAATCGGTATGACGATATTTTGTTCCCATTGAAACTGAGGAATACGGTTTTTTTTGACGGTGAAGGGAATATGATCGAATGACTTCTGCCGCCCAGGGTGGGGTGGGAGGCAGTGTCAAATTCTTACAGACTTGACACCCCCCCGTTCCTTTTCCTGTTCTGTGCTGAGGCCGCGGTGTCTCATTGCGCTTGTCCCGCAACCCCAGCTGAACTTCAGCTCTATAGGTCCCCGTCTGTGGTGGTCTATTGACTCTTTGAGGCGAAGAAGTATCTTTGCCCTAGAAATCAATGTCTAACTGTCAGTAGATGTGTTTCAGTTATCTTGACTGTAGTTTAATCCTGTTAATATTATAAATATGAAAGTTTATGAGAATTAATGGATGTATCTATATTTGTTATTCTCTCACGCAAACGGCTGGTTCGATTTGGTTTGAATTTGGTATGTAGTTAGTTGATAACCTGGATAGACCAGTATTATATAACTATTAGTTTAACTCTAAAGTTGACAAAGGATTACAGTCGCCCAAGCCGCATCTTTTCTGACGGTTGAATGCCTAAGTAAGTACAGAACAGATTTTTATTTTCTTAAATTTGCAAAATGGCTG